GCGAGGGCTAAGAGTAGGAGGGGCAGATGCTCGCTCTGAGGACCTTCCTGGGGCCACTCGCTACCACGCGTCGACGCTGCATCGAACGTCCGTCGGACTTGAGTCGAAGTGGAGTCGATTTGGAGACGAGATAGAGTCGTACTACGGTGAGGAATGTTTGCTTAGCGCGTCGCGGCGGCGGCCCCAGTGACACGTTATGACCTGCGAGCGGATAGCGTGTCGCTCCGCTCCGCGGGGCGGAAGGCTGGGAAAGGCCCGGGACGTTGACGCATGGGGACCCAGCATGTCGCGCCCAAGCGTGGTAGGCCAGAACCGGCGGCGCGACACGCTAAGCCAAAGTTCCTGACCGTAGAGTCGACGAACAGATGTCACTGGTAGCTAGGCCCCAGGGAAAGCCCCCAGAACGAGCATTTGAGAAGGGCGGCGGCAGCAGCAGCAGGGAGACCCCCTGGGCCTGCGCGAGCGCCTGAAGGGGCGAGACCTCCTCCCGGCCGCCGAGCACCACGACTTGCTTCCTGGAGATCGTCCAGGGGTCCTGCGGCAAGAGCCCATTCCCCGCCAGCATCACCTCCTCATCATTCGTCCTCCTCATTCCTCGTCCTCCTCCTTTCCCTCCTGCTCCTCCTCCTGCGTACCCGCCACCTCCTCCTCCTGCTCCTCCGCTCCTCCTCCTCCTCCTCCTCCTCCTCCTCCTCCTCCTCCTCCTCCTCCTCCTCCCCCTCCTCCTCCTCCTCCTCCTCCTCCTCCTCCTCCGCCTCCTCCTCCTCCGCCCCCTCCTCCTATGTGCGCAGCTCCCCTTTTTCCGATTGCGCATAACAAGATGGGGTATTGTTTTGAGTCTCCAGTCGGCTATTAGACGCACCCGCGGATAGAGAAGAAGCAAGGGCGATGGGAAAAGATGGGGGGAGGGATAGGCTGTCAGATATGACGCGAGCGCACCTAGCTTGCCTCCCTCACTTCTGCCTCGGCATCCTTCCCCCCATACACAAGCCGCTGAAATGCGGCGCTGCGAAACAAAAAAACGAACAAACAAACGCGAATGATCACTAGTGGTGCCCCCTCTTTCTGCGGCATCTTTCGAACCAGATCGATCTGTGAGGGTCGCGGGGCCCGAAATCGACGAGAACGCCCAGCTTGAGAAGACGGCAGCGCCCAGGTCTCAGGGAGACCCTCTCCCCCTGGGGCCTCACCCGATGGGTCCTGCAGAGAAGACAGCACCTCGGGGAAGGGCAGCGACGCCCCGAGCTCGGGCAGCATCAGCCACGCAAGGTCCGAGCCTGGAGGAAACACAGAACGGCATCAATCGAAACCTTAGGGATCGGCGCTGGACCCCCTGCCCCGACCTGGGCGACGGAAAAATGACGGGTCTTACGCGAGATGGCATAGCGACCTTACGCGGTAGCTTACGCTGGCCGCCGGCACAGCACGCCACAATGGAAGCGAGGGCGATAACGCGCGAGCTGACGCGGGCAGCTTACGCGCCAACGTCGGCGAAGACGACCCCCCTCTTTTGCGGCGTTCACCCGACGCGCGCACCGGAGCCGCCAGGGGGGGCCCAGCACAGATCCAAGAAGTCCGCGCGGGGCTTCGAAAGCTTCTGGTTGTGCCGTGCGTTCTTCCTTGAGAACCCTCGATCTCAAGGGGTAGCGAGTCCGCCTTACGAGGCCCGAGCTCGCCGACGACCAGGGGCTCTTCGTGAAGGTCGCCCAGCATCTGCAGCGCGCGCTCCTTGTCGGCGGCTGCTACCACCAAGAGCATGCCGATGCCGCAGTTGAACGTCGACGCCAACTCGTTCTCCTTTATCCTCCCCACGGCCGCGAGCCTAGAGAGGCAAAAAGAGACATCAACATAAATTGTCGGAGCTCGGCGCTGAGTTCTTTGATCGGCGCTGGGCCCCCCTGGCTGCGACTCCAGCGCCGCCCCTGACGCTCCACGCGCCAGGGAGGGGTAAGGGTCCAGCGCCGATCTAAGAAACCCGCGCGGATCATGCCTATGCCGGTTTCTCTGCTTCGACGGCCAGCGCTGCGCCGCCGGCATCTCCCAGGCGTCCGCCCTCAGCTTGGCCTTCAGGTGCTCGGGAAGCACGCCTAAAGGAACAAAAACAGCACAAACATAAACTTTTCGGCGGTGGACAAACCTCCCTTTAATACACCTCCCCTTAGTGAAAACGGCCTGGGACCGAAACCGACGGACCTGGACCCGCAAAAATGACGGCCGTGACGCCCTCTCGCGAAACGAAAACGGCCAATTCGCTAATCGACGTGTCAGGGTAGGAGGTCTGTCCACCCCCGAACTTTCGGAACCTCACGCAAATTTCCTGGATCGGCGTTGGATCCCCCCTCCCTGGCGCGCTGGCGCAGCGTCGATCCAAGAAACCCGCACGGAGCTCCATAAGTTGATCTACATCGTACGTACGCCGCCCCCTGACATCCTCCGATGCGATTTTAAAAAAATCCGCGGCCCCAGCGGTCCGGACCCCATCCCCAGGAGTAGCCTCGCG